GACGTCTCTGTTGCCAGCTTTGCAGCTGGTCATAGCAGTAGTCAAAACATGAAGCAAATCAATGTGCATGTGTGTGTGTCTGCTGATTAAGTGGTGTGTAGCTAAAACATTCTCACAGACCTCTAGTAACATGTCGTGACTTAAACATAAGAACATATTATGACTAAGGCTACAGTTATACACGTCATAATAATAATATTAAACACCCTGTCTGCTGACAGTCATCAACTTTTCTCTCTGGTATCCTTGACCAGATGTACCCTGTAGAAACTCATAAGCATGACTAAGCATTTAACAGTCTAACTAGACATCCTATCTCCACTAAACATTTCTAATACATAAAGTATCTATCCAATATCTGTCTGACTAAAAATACCTAACAATATTAAAAAAACATTTAATTTCTGCTTAAACAAAATGCTCATTTGTGGATTCACAGCCACATAACCATCAGTCTGTAGTAAGATTCTAACGTTTCTTGGTTTCCATGCCTTTCCTCAGTCTGTCTGATTTACCACAATTTGAAAAATCCTGCATTTTTGCAGTTTTGTTGCATTTTTCTTCTATGTCCAACATACAGTATTTACTATAGCTAAAAGTGCCCTGTTGTTTATGCCTGCATCTACACAGCACAGACAAATAAAAACAAGTGTTAGGCCTTCTCTCCCTTTAGTAATGTTTGTGTTATGATCATCTTCCCACACAAACATTGTCTCAGTTTCTGCCAGTGGGCTTATTATCTTGCCAATTAGTTTTAGCTAATGTTAATAGATATGCTAGTGCACTCCAGGACCATTAGCTAGCTCTCTGTGTTAACAAGCATTCTGAGAATTAGAGACTTTAAAGGCTATTGCTCAGTAAGGATATGGAGAAAATTATGTTGCAATACTGAACAATACTTAATGGTGCAGGCCTGGAAAAAAAGGGAAGATTAATAATCATACAAATGGTCTGGCAATGGCCTGGTTTCTCCGCCGCCGACAACTGTGAGTGCTGGGAATAAACACAAGAAAATATTGAAAATCATTTGGATAAAATACCATACACTTAAATAATTGTATGCCAATAGTTATAGTATATGCGGCTAAATTTGCTTCACATTTAAATCTATTACAATAAATAAAAAGGCATTATAAATATAGTTATAAATAATAGCATGTTTTTAGTATTATTTGCAGGGTGTAAAAATATTAGTAGTACAACATCCACAAGACTAAGAGTGTGCACCAAACACAATACAGTGTCATTAGTTTAGTATTTGTAAAATAAAAATATTGACCACAGAATTTCGTGGCAATCCATCCTATAGATATTTCAGTGTGCACCAAAGTGTTGGATCAGCTGACAGACTGACAACTCCATCCCTAGGGTAATGTGGTTCGCTTGACTAAAAATGGACAACCAGACAGGCTAAATATCCAATCCAGACATACTGTATCACAGCACAAAAGTTCAGTTATTAATAACCAACTGATTTTAGTTCCAAATTACTTCTCTCAGTGACCAAGAGATCTGCCAGTGGAATCTTTTTTTTCACCACCAATGTGAAACCAAGCTCTCATTTCTTTTTCATGTCTTGAAAACGCTGTTGCTCATGCTTTAACACTCGTGCATACACGAATACACCACTGCACAGACAAATCCGCAATGCACAAATGAGCAGAGAAACACAGTACTCGCCACACACATGCTGTGTTTTCATTCCTTGTGGGGACTTTACATTGATTTACATTCATTTCCTGTAGACTCATCCTAACCTAAACCATAACCACTACTTGCCTACCTCTAGCCCTGACCCTAACACTTAACCTCACCCTAACCTTAAGCCATGTTGCCACCCTAAAATTCAGTGATGGCCGAATCCCTACAACGTGAGTGTGTTAACAGGTTTTGGCCCCCATAATGTAAGTAATACAAAGGCGCACACACAGAGAAGGATTAAAGCTTTGCAGCCTCTGGCCACCCAAGGGGAACATGTCTGTAAGACGAACATTGTGTTTTATCTGCTCTTATTTCATCTGGGAGAAAAACCATCATATACTTTCCTTTATACTTTTCATATACTCAAGTTACACTTACTCATTCACATACATATGCATCACAATGCTTAGTAAGTTTACTTTACACACTTTGAACAATTTACATAGAAAAACATACACACTGAAAATGACATGTATAGCATTTACGTAGATGAGGAGGGATAGATCTCACTGCATAATGTATCTAGCAAGCAGCAGCTGTTGTTAGGATGGTGCAAGCCAGTTCATTCAAAAGGACAGCAAGCGCTTCCCCTGTATGAAATTTCACGTGGCTCAGACACTAACAGTGTTGTGCAGCCTGCTATGTACGCTACAGCATAATTTATAATGTCTTGTGCACACAAGATAAAAACTAGCACTTTAAAATTTTAAATATAGGCCCTTTATGTAAGCACCCCATTAATGCCCAGATTACTCCAAAGTATTTTCATTTGTTTGTATATCATTTGTGCGCATTTGTGTGAGCAAAACAAACATCTGTGCTTTATTATTTCTCAAGTTATTGTAGTATATTTATCTAATTCTATATGTGTGTTCATAACTGGAAAATTAATGAGGTGTAGAGGATTTGTACTACAGTTTATGAATTTTTAATTTTAATACCTCATGATAAGGGCACCAGATGATTATAGTGAATCACACTCTATCAATGAATTTGTTAATCTCAATTATTATTATTTATTAATATGAATTATTAATCCAGTCTCGATCTGAAAGCAGTGAATCCTCAGTTCAGTGACTTATTTACTGAGAATAAAAGAGACAAAAAGATGACATAAGAAAGCCAGTTCTAATCTAAAAGAATTTATTTATATATGTACAAAGGAGGAAAAGGGAATCGGGATTGTTAAAGCAGATGGTACATGTGAACAAAAAAGGTGGCTAATGGACCAGTGAATGAATGACAGAGTAAGCTGTTGGTGAGCAATGGTGGAAAATGAGCTAAAATTATGCTTAAGTCACATTAGATGCTGGATCTAAATTCTAGGAATCGTGTTTCCGGAGGTTATGGCTTTTGTAGGAGCAACTACAGTTTTATAAATCACATTATGTATATTTTCAAGTCCAATATAACATTTTCACTGTTAGAAAAGAAAGAAGATTAGAGAAGGAGTTTTTTCTGCAGTGACTAGTTAAATCTGTATAAGTCAGATTTATCTCCGCTGTTACCAAACATTTCTAACTTTCTTTTACATATTTCACACAACATTCAATTATTGATTCTACATTCTTCAATTCTAAAATGTATTTTCAGTGTTATAAAGGTAGAAAGAAGTAAATACTAGCAAGTTTCTATTGTTGTGCTGTAAAGTAAGAGGAGTGCCTGTCTGCATTCCAGTGTGTCCTGTTCTCTTGGGAAAGAATCAGATAAGGGATGAGATGCCCTGTGTTGTTCGAGTTATCTCAGACTTATTGTCTGAGGCAGAGGCACAAAGTCAAAGAATGTGTATTTCACCATTCAAATTGAAAGGGAGTTGGGGTCCTGGAGTCAGGATGTCTGGTTAGAATAGGCCTCTGGTGTCCCCATCTGGTGTTAAGAGGATGGGGGAGAGAAAGCTATGAGAGGGCATTACACAGAAAACTGTCTTTGAGACACAAACCAGGGCCTGGTCCTGTATAAAGGTGAGAAGGGTGTAGTGAGGCACAGTTCCTAGCTGAGAGCTGTTTTCTCCTCACTGCTTGTGAAATCAAAGTTAGTTTATCAGTTATTCTTCTTGGTTCATCAAAATAAAATGAATCTTTTCCACATGGTTTCCTGGCCTGATGGACACTACAGAGGCAAAAGCGTTTGTTTTCCTTGCACAAACGAACGATGTGCAAACAAATGAGTCACCATCACGAAGCCATTTGGGCATTATGTTTAATTTCTCAAAAAAAAAAAAGCACAAGCACAAATTTAGAAGCAAAAAATGTTTGTATCCCCTGCAAAAATATGCACAAACAAATCAAAATAGTTTTATTAATAACCTGATCATATGGGGTGCCAACTTATAAACTTAGGCTCTCATTTACTGTATCTGTGTACTTACCTGGGTTGGTCAAATTAGATTTTCAGATGAGTGTGAAGACTGGGTCATGATCAGAATCAGAATCAGAATCAGAATCTCCTTTATTGGCCAGGTATGTTGGACACACGAGGAATTTGACTCTGGTACATCGGCTCTCAATGTGCAAACAGTAAACCAGCATAAGGCTGTGTAATATAACAAAATAAGCAGTATTTACAAGCAACAGAAAGTGCAAACTATCAGAATAAGCAGTATGAACAGACAGTAACAATGCAGACAACAAAGGAATGTTCTTTGAAATGACGGAGTACTAGAGACCTGTACAAGTCTGTATAATCTGTACAATGTATATATATACAGGTATTGCACTGAGGGTTATTGTCCAGTCATACTGTCTTTGCTTAAGTGTTCATCAGAGTGACGGCTCTGGGGAAGGAACTGTCCTTGTACCTGGTTGTTACAGTGACCTGTAACGCTGTCCAGAGGGGAGGAGTTCGAACAGATCGTGTCCAGGGTGTGAGGGGTCTGCAGTGATCCTCTCCGCCCTCCTTTTGACCCGTGAGGTGTACAGGTCCTCCATGGAAGGCAGGGTCACACCAATGACCTTTTCTGCAGTCCTGACTGTCTGCTGAAGTCTGTACTTGTCCTGTTTGGTTGCTGAGCCAAAGCAGACAGTGATGGCGGTGCAGAGAACAGACTCGATGATTCCTCTGTAGAACTGTATCAGCAGCTCCTGGGGCAGGTTGAACTTCCTGA